TCCAACTGTGTTGAATGTTGCAGATAGGTCAAATACAATGAGGGCTGAAAATTAACCATTGTAATAGATAATACAGAGATCATTGGTGACCTTGGCAAAAACATGTTTGGTAGGATGGTGGGGCAAAATCCTGATTAGAGTAGGCTGAAAAGAGAATTAGTGGGAAGGAATTGGAGAGAGTAAACGTGGATGACTCTATACAGGAGTTTTGGCACAAAGGGAAGAAAAAATATTTGGTAGTAATTGGTAAAAGAAGAATGGTTGAGGGTTTTATGCTTTTTGTTTAAGATGGAATAAATGAGAATGTTTATATGCTGATGGGAATAATCCAGTAAGAGAACAAAAGATAAGCAACGTGAAGGAAAGGGCAAGAGGTGATGGAAACAAGTGTTTAAATCGAGGGATTGGCTTTAGAAAGGAACATGGATAGTTCATACGTGAGATTAGTTGAGAAAGCAGGGTATGTGGTGTGATTCCTGGAGTGTGAGTAGAGATGGTGATGAGAATCTGTGGAAGTTATTCACCTTACTACTTCAGCTTTCAGAATCTAACTATTCACATTACCTCTTGGGGATGAGGTAAGACATGAATTTCATAAAGGGATATAAACATAAGGTAGTGTGTTTTAAAAGAAAAGAAACCAGTGTTTTACCTGCTTAATATCACATTCTTCACTACTCTTGTCAAGACTCATATCACTTTAAGATTGTATTATTACTGTCTTAGATCATTATTGTATTGTTTACAGAAATACCTGAGATGGGGTGATTTAGAAAGAATAGAGGTTTATTTGACTTATGATTCTACCGCCCACTAGATCTCATCTATTAAATTCCATTTTATTGGGGCCCAAGTTGCAGAACATAAACCTTTGGGGGACAAATCATATTCAAACCATAGCAATTACCATAGTCTCCTATTCTGTCCTGCCATTAATATTTCCCCATTCAGCTCCCCAGCCACAACCAAAATTATTTTCCTTTAACACTACATATTATCAACATTTCCTAGTAAGAATTCTCTAGACAGTAGTCTAGAGAATAAAATAATATACATTATGGCCACAGGTATGTCTTTTACTTTATTTTATACTCTTCTATTTTATCATTATTACAATACAAGCCACTATTGTACTAGGCACAAGATCCAGAAGTGTGGAGGCATAAATGCTCCATCACTCAACTAAACACATTCTTAAGCCAATCACATTCTTTTTTTCATGTCTTGTTTATACTATCCAATCCTTTTAACAATGTTCTTACTTTAAGAACAACTTGAGGTTTCTCTCCATTGTATAATTCCCAAGTCAATTCCAGTTCTTAGTATTCTCTTCCTACTCTAAATTTCAGTAATTTTTAACATGTATATTAGCTATTTAGTCTTTATCCTATAATCTGCCTTACATTACTAATATGTGGTTTATTTGTTCAAATTGACTTGTGACACCATATTTCTAACATAGTCCAATCTTGCTCAGAATAATTGATAAGTAGAGTTCGGATAATGTGTATTTTGATGTTAATAAGTAGGGTAACAGAGTGGAGGGAATATGAATATTTGGCAGATACATACACACAATGTAGTTTGTGTGGAATGGAAAGTAGGATAAAATGAAACAAATTTTGTAGTAGGAAACCCAAAGTAAAAATATTTTTAAAGGAAGGTTCATAAATTTACATTGGATAAATAATACAGAAGAAAGTCAGTGGAAGAATTGTGGAACTGGAGTTCTGAGCAGGAAGATGGTTTACATACAGGAGAAAGAATCAGAAATCAAAATAAGTTAAATAAAAGGATTGAGCTTCATAGTTTACAAATCACATTTTCAACTCTCTTCTCAGTTAATTGTCATAATAATAGAAGTAGGTACTATCTTTATTTTGTAAACAAAACATTAAGATTTTGGGCTGGCAGGTGATGTGGTTGTTAAGGCACTGGGCTCTTACAGTTTGAATCCTAGACTTGGTGGCTTGCTTTCTCATTTTTCCTCTCTCTCTCTCGTTGGTCAAATTTAAAAAAATAATGATAATAAATAAAATTAAATAAATAATTCTAATAAAATCAAGATTCAAAGAAGTATTTATTAAATGTCAGAATCAGCACTCAAGTCCTGTCCAATAACTCCATTTTTTGAATTTTGCAAGTAAAAAAAAAAAAGGGAGGTTCAAATATCTTTATTACTCCTAAACTAATGTTGTTTTGTCATTATAAACTTGAAAGATCCACAGAAACTTAAGGCATTTTGTTCAAACTAACAAGAAAGGTAAATTTCCAAATATTTATTTGCATGGTATGGCATTTTAAATCTGGAGTTTCATTTAAAAGTTAATATTTTGCTATGTTTTGTTTTCTGTTGTTTGAAGTACATATCTATTACTTCATTGTGTTTAATTTACTTTAGTCTACATTATACATGAAGATGAATAAAGCAATTCTTCAACCAAGCTTGATATTAAAATATGAGTCAAAACAAAGAGTAAAGAAAGATCATTCTGTATTTAACTAATGGTGATTCTATTAAGTGTCTTTCAAAAAGAAAAAGAAGCAAAAATCCAGTAGATAGATGTACATGAATTACCTTTAGAGCAAACTGGGCAGCTAAACATAAGAGCATGGTAGGAGAACCTCTCTCTGTAAGTAGACCATTATCTTCCTGCTCTTTGTCTGTTAATAAATTTTCTAAAGTCATGATTGCCTGTAAAGCTGACAAACAAGGAAACAATTAGAAAATAAAGTATTTTTATCAAAGATAATGCCTACCTATGGTTATTTACATTACAATTTATTTGGAGCTCATTTTAAGAGGTTTCTTGATATCTCTATACATTAATTAATATATTTAGATATTACTTCCTCCCTCCCTTCCTTGTTCTCTGTTTCTCTGGTGAGCACACACACCTGCTGGCAATTACAAACCTATGTATCAATATTTACTTAATATTACAGTTAATATTTATAAAGCAAACTGAGTTGCTAAACTGTCAACGAAGATTTGAGTATCAGAAAAATGCCCGACTGAGCTTTCACATTTCTGTAAATTTATTCTATGGATGTATTTACAAAAATAAATGAATACATACAAGGATGTTTATCCATCATTGTTTATGAGAGTAAAGTATAGAACCAACATGAATTCCATCAATAATGTACGGTCTAAATACATCTTGGTGTGTCCATAAAATGGAATACATTATACAAAACAAAGTTAAAACTTGAATAGTTGTATTATTTTCCTTTATATTACTTAAAAGGTAGAGTATGATAAATTAAATATGTGACCTTAAGCAACAATACACAAAGAGTTATATCTCATAAGCAAAAGAGAGATAAAAGTAATTATAAAAAATTCAAATAACCCCAAAAAAGAAGAAAAAAAGACAACAAGAACAGATGGGACAAGTAGAAAAGAAATAAAAGATGCTACATGTAAATCTAACCATATCAATAATCATATTAAATATAAATGACTAAATGACCAATTAAAAGGTATAGATAGATTGGATTAACAAAACAAAACACAATTTAGAAACATACTTTATACTTTTTTTATGTTTTGGATTTTTGCCATAGGGCATATATGCTTACAGAGAGACAGGGAGAGACAGAAAGGGGGAAAATGAGAAATTACACCCCTCTCCCCAAAAGAATGGCCATGCCACAATCCTTTCTCCTCTTGGGATTTCCAAGCAAATGCTCCCAGTGTGTTCTTCAGGCCACTGGGGTCATGGACTCAAATCCAAATTTGGCCATATGGGATCTAGCACCTTACCACAACACCATCTGCTGGCACAAAGTACACTTTAAAGACATAATTAGTTTTCAAAATGGGATCATAGGGCCAGTCCATGGCATTGTGGTTAAGGGAGCTGGATCCCACATAGTCAACCATGCAGCTCAAGTCCCAAACCAGGCAGCTTCAAAGTACAATGGGCACATGTGCATGTATGCCCAAAATACAAAAAGGAGGGAGAAATGGAGAAAGGATTACAGCATGAACATTCTCCACAGGGGATATTTTCCCACTTTCCCTCTCTCACTGTCTGTCTATATAGAGTGTATGTGCCCTCTGGCAAAGTTTTTTTTTTTTAATGAGTTAATATATTCTGTGCTAAAGGTAATCCAAAGAAAGCTGAGTGGCTATATGAATATCAAATAAAGCAGATTTAAGCACAAAAAATATCAGTGATATAAAGTTATTTCAAGATGATTAAGGAATCAATTTACGACTAGGACATAATCATAAATGTTTATGTAACCTATAACAAAATTTCAAAATACAAGAAGTAAAAACTGGTAGAACTGGGATCAGCAGTTAGTGTAATGGCTATGTTGCTGGACTCCTATGTAGTTGACCGCGATTTGAGTCCTGGACCCAGTGGCTTAAACTCACACCAGGCGCATGTGCATGCATGCCCAAGATCCTGAGAGGAGAATAGAGGAGAAGGGATTGCAGCATGGCAATCCCCCCGGGGGGTGATTTCTCATTTTCTGTCTCTCTGTCTCTCTCTGTCTTTCTGGTGAGCGCATGCACCCTATAGCAAAAACCTATCAAAACCAACCAACCAAACAAACAAACTGGTAGAACTGCAAGGAGAAACTGGTAAGCCCACGATTATACTGAAAAACTACAATACCCTCTCAATAACTGATAGGACAAGTAGACAGAACATCAGGAGGATATAGCATACTTAACACTATCAATCAACTTGACCTGATTGACATTTATAAAACATTCAACCTAGTGCCAGCAAAATACATATTATACTCCAGTAGACCTGAAATATTTATCAAGACAGGCAATATCCTGGCCCATAGACCAACTCTCAATATATTTAAAAGGTTTCAAGTCATATAATGTATGAGTTTTTACTACAATGGGATTAAGTTAAAAATCAATAAAAGATAACTCTCTAGAAAGTCAGAAAATACACATTTTTTTAGAGGTTTTTGCTATAGGGTGTGTGTGCTTGCCAGAAAGACAGAGAGAGACAAAGACAGAAAGAGAGAAATCACCCCCCGGGGTGATGTCCAAACTGCAATCCCTTCTTCTCCATTCTCCTCTTGGGATCTTGGGCACGCACACACACGCACCTGGCGTGGGTTTAAGCCACTGGGTTTGAGACTCGAACCGTGTTCGACTACATGGGAGTCCAGTGACATAGCCATTATGTCAACTGCTGGTCCCCAGAAAACACACACTTCTACATAATCTATGGGTTTAAAAAGGAATCAAAAGTCAAATTGGAAATTATTTAGAACTGAATTAAAATGAAAATACAACATACCAAAATTTGTGGATTGTTTTTAAAGCAGTAATGAGAAAGTAATTTATACCATTACTTATATTAGACTAGAATAAAAGTCTTAAATCAATGACCTCAGCTTTAACATTTGAAAACTGGAAAAAGAAAAGCAAAAGAAATTCAAAGCAAGCAGAAGAAACAATATAATTAAGATCAGAATATGGGAATTTGGGGAACTCCTGCCCAGTGCTTTCTGCTGCTGGGCCTCAACCCACCCACTAGGACACTTGGGTCTGGTCTTGGCAGGCCTCTTCTCCTGAGAGCATCCCCATCTCCTGGGGTCATCTTTGAAACTTGTGGCACTCAAAATTACACACTGCGCAAGCATGCAACTGGACCTTCTTCACTAAGTTATATCTCCTTAGCTTGTTCTCACCTCATCAAGAGCTGAAAATTTGGTAGAGGAGTCAACCACCTAAAGTTACCTGTATAAGTTTTATCTGTTCTGATCTGTGAGACACATCACTCTAATAGGAACACACCTGGGAACTAAGGGTGAAATTCTCTCTTTCAATACTATGGAATGTACTCCAATAAAAAGGAAAAAGTGAATATTAAACCAGATGACCCAAAACCAGTGCAGATCTCAAAGAAACATGAGAAAATAAGGGGGTAACTCACCATGTGAGCACAGCAGCCCCTCACCAATAATGGAAAGTACAAAATAATTCACATAAATGTCAGAAAAAGAATTCTGAACATTCATAGTGACAAAACTCAATGAGATGCAAGAGAAAACAGACAATTCCAGGAAATGAGAAAATAATTTCCGGACATGAAAGAGGAATTCCATAGATAGACCACCCTGGAAAAGGATCAAACAAAACTTATAGAAATGAAGAATACCATACAAGAAATTAAAAACTCTCTAGAAAGCATTAACAGTAGATTTGACCATGCAGAAGAAAGAATTTATGACCTTGAAAACGAAGTCTCCAATACAGACAAAATTACCAAAAGAATAAAACATAAAAACAACAAAAATTGAGGATAAAATATGGGAAATTCTAGACACTATGAAATGCCCAAATATCCACATAATGGTTATTTCAGAAGGTGAAGAAGCTGATAAAGGCATGGAAAACCTCTTTCATGAAATACTATCTGAAAACTTTCTAAATCTGGAGAAATATGGAGAGATTCAGACCCAAGAAATAAAAAGAACTCCAAATACATTCACACAAAAAGTTCCTCCCCCAGCACATCAGAGCTAGATTGGTAAAAATCAAAGACAAAAACAATATTTTAAAAATGGCAAGAGAGAAATGTCAAGTTACATATAAAGGTTATCCCATTAGGCTAACATTAGAACTGTCAAATGAAACACTGCAGGCAAGGAAAGAATGGGAAGACATATTTAAAACATTATAAGAAAAACAATTTTGACCAAGAATACTATTTCTAGCAATATTATCACTTAAATGGGAAGAACAAATGGCAAAGGACTGCCTGAAAAGTAAAATTATGTGAACAATGACTGATTATCAGTGTTGTTTATTAACTGTTTGCATAGCAGATCTTGGAAACTTCTCTTTAAGTAATGCATTACTTCTATCAGCGGTATTTAGGTGGTTATCTAGTTTGGTGCTCTAAATTATTGGGGGCCTTGAGGCTTAAGTATTTTTCTGAATATAATTTAAAGGTAAGTTGCATTCATTTAAACTAATAGAACAGAAAGAATTAACTAATAGTTTTTAAATCAGTGGTTTCAGTTGTACATAAGTTAGGATATAGAGAGGAGAGGGATATAGAAGAAAGGTTCCTGAGTTCAGCACTTTTTCTTTTTTTTTTGGAGAGGTTTTTGCTATAGGGCGCGTGCGCTCGCCAGTCAGACAGACAGAGACAGAGAGATAGAAAGCGAGAAATCACCCCCCAGGGGAGATGGCCACACCGCAATCCCTTCTCCTCCATTCTCCTCTCGGGATCCTGGGTATGCACGCACACGCGCCCAGCGTGAGTTTTAAGCCACCGGGTCCGGGACGCAAACTGTGGTCGACTACGTGGGAGTCCAGCAACATAGCCATTACGCTAACTGCTGGTCCCAAGCACTTTTGAACATCATCTGAATTGCAGTCTTCAGCTTATTTTCTTACTGATTTACAAACTATCAATGAGAAACTCATTAACTGAGTGAGAAAACTAGAAATCCTCACAGTTTTTTTTTTTAACAAATAACTTACTGTATTTTTATGACAAGAGAGAGAAAAAGTGTTAAAATGGTTTCTAATGAGGGACCAGCAGTTAGCGTAATGGCTATGTTGCTGGACTCCCATGTAGTCAACCGTGGTTCGTATCCTGGACTCTGTGGCTTAAAGCTCACGACGGGCCCATGTTCATGTATGCCCAAGATCCCGAGAGGAGAACAGAGGAGAAGGGATTGTGGTGTGGCCATCCTCTCTG